AGGTCAACACACTGTACTTTAGGTAAATATTTACCATCTCGTTATTTCATTATTTCGCTTTCCAGCATTTACAGGAAACGCTTCATTCTAGAAAATGCTATCGCAAAACTGTTGGAAATAATAAATGTAACAGCAGAATACGTCCTAGCACAGTCACTCGACTAGGAGAGTGATTGTGGTCCTAGTAATAAACTAAGTGACTTCCAAAAACTGAATGGTGTTTGCGAACTTCGTATTAGTTATAAACCAACGTTAGCTTCACGTTTATGTCACACCATGGAAACAGCCAAAAACATAGTGCTTGTTTTTGAGCGGAGCGGATCGCCAACCAGCCTACCGGCTTGTTTATATTTTACTGACACTTATCTCATTATTCCTCAGACCAGACGTTAAGTGGGTGGAATAAACTGCTTAGCGATAAGTTCAGTGCATTGGTTGACCCACGTCTTCTTCTGAGTAAACTGACAGCCAAGGAAAAGTGTAAGTAACTTCATGCCTGTCGATTATCGCCCTTGTTAAACCACGTTGAGTTGACAGTCATTAACATTACTGGCAGCTAGTTGACATACGTTAACAGTGTCATCACCGTTTTTACGTTGTCGTTTGTTTTATGTTTTTTCATATGTAAACTTTGATATTTTTGACTTGACATATTTCAGCTCTAGATTCAGTTCCACATGGCTGTACCTGTAAATGGAACACCAAAGTCACGTGTAGAAGTTTAAATCTAACAGAGATCCCAAAACATATCTCCAGAGAGACAACTTCTCTGTGAGTACTCTCAAATTAATAGGCATTTGCGCGTCCCTTAGAAAACCAAGTTCGTATGAAACAGGTCATATCTGTTGCCTGAGAACTTTTGTTTTCCTAATAAAATTTGATTCGTAGTATATGTAAGACTTATCAAAATTACATGAGGCTTTGATTCGGGAATCAAATTTGTGTAATTATCATAGGTTTCTTGGAAATACGATGTCTAGTGTGTGTGTGTTCATAGAATTGAAAGAAAATATTAATCCAGCGGGTATTCGATAATGTCTATCAGTAGGCAGCTTCCATTTTAATCTCCGTCGGACATAGTTCGAAACGGGGTCTTCTGTTTTGGGGTTTATTTGCGTACGCCCGACATGATTTCTTGGACATGCTTACCGGATTGTGTTCAATGTTTGTACAAGTACAAGGCAAGTCCGAATGTGAAATATATTCACGTCAATTATTTTGTTGTTGCATGGAGCTTTGACCGACTCATCATTTTAACCCCCCCCCCCCAAATACTATTTGGTCATGTCATCAACCGTTCTACAGGCATGCCTGAACCGATGTAATTCATAATCGGCATTGGCATGCCAATAGCGGGTTACTAATACATCAATTTGTGTCGTGATTCGAAATGGAAGAATGGCGGCCATCTCTTTTATTGCAATTGTTCTTACCAATTTGAACATATCATCGCCTAGGCCGATTTTATTAAAACTTGGCGTGGACATCACACATAGTGGTTTACTGATGAAAGTCCTTTTGTTTATTGATTCGATACATAATGGCCGACTTGCTGGTGTTCGTTAGTTGTATTTTTCATGTGACCTTAACCATTTTTTGGAACATGCGTTGATTTTGTTGAATGTGGGTACATGAAAAAGACATAATGCTCTTCACTAACGCATGTTGATTTTCTTCTAATTACATAATTAAATCGACCGGTGGCCATTACCGCTTCAAAACAAAATGAAATGTATCATTGTCTGCTGTTCGGGCATTTTATTCAAACTCACGTGATAGTTTTAATGCACGACGGCTTGCTCTGTGGTTTGGTTCAAAATGCAAAATAGCTGACTAGTGGTTATGTAAGCTATGTTTGTTTTACCATTTTTCAAACACAATTTGACCGATTTTGTTTAGAAAGTTTTTTTTACTAAGAGGGTAAGCACACTAATATGCTGAATTCCAACGTCACAATCCAATTTTTTTCATTGGTTGTTATAATTCACACAGTTATTGAAACTGAACAGAGACTATATATTGACAATGACTTTGACTTGATTGTTTCATGTGGGGAATATGATCACGATCGTATAGTAGTATAATAAGACGTAGAAATTATTGTTTCGTACAAAAAATAAAATGTATCAACTGCAAAGCATGCTGGAAAATTGTTCGTTCATTTCTTTTTCAAAAATTAATCTTCCCTCATTCAACTCCTAAATGCAGAAATACCGCAGCAAAATGAATATATATAAAGTTATTTTTTAATGTATTACTATGATATTTATGGTTTAGTAATGCTTTTTAGACGTTGTTTGTTCCTAATGTTTTACCCTTTGTTGAATATGGGTCGTTTATTTTTTTTTCTCTACAATACAAAAGGTACAAAACAAGTTACATTATTAAAAAAAATCACAAAGTTACAAAAAAAAGAA